AGAGAGAGAGAGAGAGAGAACTACAAAGTCTTTAAGTAAAAGATGTCGAGGCATCTCTAAGATGGGCGATTATCATTTGAGTGGAAATCTGGTCTTCCTTTCATGTTATATTGGAGTGAAGAGCTTGTGATCAAATTTCAACAGCATTCCAAAGGGTCGATTTTATGACACAAAATTATGCTCAAGCTATCATGCATTTGACTTTATGATTGTCTATTTATATAGTAGAAAATAATTCCAAGAAAATAATTCAAGTTGCGAATGTATATCAAATGAAATAATCTTCGTGAATAGAGATATACGTTAAATATTACAATACATCCAGTTTATGAACGATAAATCATTGCGTAATGATAATTGCGTGATATCTACTAATAGATCAACTGATTATATAATCGGGTGTTTCCGGTATACAATGCAATTCTACTCTGCAATCTCATTTTATGTTTCTTCTGATATTTCCTTTAAATCTCTTTTATTTATTTCTATTCAAACTTGCGAAAATTTCTTTTTACCCTACAAACGATTGAGGCAAGTATATGTTGTGGCCGCCACTCATGTACACGACCGCAACCGCACTGCAACCGCAACCGCAATCGCACCACAGTCGCGACCGCACCGTAACCATACCACAACCGTATCGCAATGTATAAACGATATCTTTTGCGAATTTATTAAGAAACTCGATTTATGTCTTTTAAAATCGTTCTTTCTATGTTAAAGATCTGTTAAAGAAAAAAATTTACAGATGAGATAATTATCGACATTTTTATCATAATGTATTAGAGTATGATATCAATAAAGAAATTAAAATGAAAAGTTTGTAATATAAAGACAATTTTACTCACACTAAGATTAGAGATCTTTAGTCTTATGATCTGTGCAGATACTAGCACGACATTAAAGCCATAAAAGTTTCTCTCTTTTCTCAATAAAAGTTATAGTCCATGTTTTATAGCCCATAGATCATCGCATAACGATAATTACTGTACCTATATTCTTTAATCGATCAGCTGCGGTATAGCTGGTCGCTTCCGGTGCGCGGCGTACATAACACTTATTACAATGCGCACCTCATCCTGCAACTAACAATCTTATCCACATTAATATTTCATCAATTTTATGTATATTACTGCTCCTCAACAACCTCATTGAATTCTAATTAATTTCTAATTTTATACACATTTTGGAAATAAATAAATAAAACCAGTACTCTTTGAAATGGACAAACACCACCATTCTTATAATTTAAAAATATTTTTCAAAGTGCGATTAAGTATAATATTTAATTAAGGAACGCGCGTAGAAATCTCAAAAAAAAAAAAATAGACGCACACGTTAATGCATATATGTAAACGCGCACTCCGGTAGGTGAAATATTACCAAACTTATCAATCATCGTTCATCCGTTTACGCCACTGTCGTCGCCCTCCGCGAAAATGCATAGTTGGCGAAAGCGAGGGTCCTTTAGAAAGTTAAGTCCCTAGATGCTGGTTGTTTAATCAGAGAGAATCATACGAACGAGTCGTTAGCCGCGAGTCGATGGCATTTCCCTACCTTCTACCCATTCCGATGCGTGTCTTCTTCGCGCGCGCATTCTCGTATATACGTGCACGCACGTGTGCACAGGCGAGAGAAAGAAGAAAAGAGAAAAAGAAAGAAGGGCAGTACAGATCACCCGTTCGGGCACCCGGGTGCATAAGTCTATACTTACGGGCTAGGTGGTAGATATGGAGCGGTCGATAATGATCCAATATACTGGTACATCCTCGTGAAGTAATTACAATGATGAGCGAACCGCTACCATCGGGCGCCCGAGCGAGCTCCTTCGGAGGCTAGGCGTTGGATCAAGACCCGTCCTCCACAATCCTCCCCTCCCCCCCCCCGGTTTCCCTGCCTTGCCCCACCTCATCATCGCGTCGACTTCTTGCTTCTTTCGCTGCTCTTCCTTGATCCTCTTCGCCTTACACTCCTCTTCCTCCTGCTCTTTTCCTCCTTCTCCTTCTTCTTTTCTTCTTCTTCTTCTTCTTCTTCTTCTTCTTCTTCTTCTTCTTCTTCCTCTTCCTCTTCTACTTCTATACAGCCGCCGGTCGCTACGGTGCATAGCACACCGCAACAAGAGCAAACATCTCTTCGGGGTCGTCACGGGGCCACGGAGTCACGGTGGATGGATCTCTCTCGCTCCTCTCTCGATCCTCCGGAATTATCACGGGGGCCACCGCGAGGGTTCACTTGGCCGGAAGTGCGTCATCAGCGGAATACGTGCTCGATGAAACCATCTTACGGACAAATCTCTAGGACGATACACGTCGAGAGTCATAGCTCGGCCTCGAACTCGCCGAGGACGACTTATCTCGATGGGCGACCGGCGAGCATGCGGTGTTGGCGGATGATTAGCTTCGATTCGTTTGCGCTTGTATGCAACGGTGTTGTCATTGATCGATAGATCAGACGATCGTTGTGTTGGTCCGCACGGATGAAATCGCCAACGATGAAGAATAATTGTATTATTGTGTTAATACCACGAGGAGAGATATGATGGAGGTGATAGAAGAAAAAACGAAATAAAAGGTGGCCGAGGGAAGGAGAGATTAACTTGTGGTGGCTGAAGTTAATTGCGAAGCGATAATTGCGGACCATGTTTCATGCATATGCATGAGATCGGAGTACTACTGTTCGACGAGAGATATAATTTATTCGATAGAGCTTAACTTAGATTTGATGAGAAGAGAGAAGTTGGACGTTGGTGATAAGTAATAATTAGCGATACCATCTTTAGATATTTCAATATTCTCAAGTTTATTTCAAGAAGCTAGAAGGGAATACGAAGCGATTACTTTTATTAAGTTTTTATTACGTTGTACTTGGACAACTTATTTTATGGATGTGTAGCACGTAATAATACGTTAACAGTTCTATTTTCTCTTCTCCCGTAAATTATTTTACTTTATATTATACTTTACACGTAGAGCTTTAATACAGATGAAGCGTGATAACAAAAAAGCATGGCATTTTAACAAATAATGATGAAGATATGCGTGATGGACACTCGTAAAACCACCGTCGTTGGTCAACTCGAGCGCGAAGCATCCGCTCTGGCGTAAGTTCATTCATCGATTTTTTGCTGCGAAGAACCTGCTGCGAGTTAGATCGCTCGACTCACCGGGAGCTGAGTACAGGCGATACGAAGTGTCTGATTAACGTTAATTTTTTGCAAGTGCCGACCGTCCGACGCCTCGTCACAAGCCTCAGCCTCCCTGGTCTTTTTTCCGGTCGTTTCGATTACGATCGATACGGTTGTCGAACCGAGCCATCCTACCTCATTCTCCGCGATGTCACGCCTAAGTTTTTCGTGCTGACCTCCTTCTCTGAGAATCTTCAACATCCGAAAATCGTATTCCTGAAACGCGATCGTCATCTCAATTTGCCTGTATTAATTAGCGCTTGTTTTATATCGACGACGGAAAAAGTGCAAAAGTGCTTTAATTTTACAAATATACGTCCCTGATGTTACATAACTGATGATCCGATCCGTATGTTCGAGTTGGGCGAAAAGGAAATATAAGAAATTATGAAAGAAGGTTATTTAAATCATATTTGAATAAATAAGAATGTAGCGTACATAGATGAAGTAATAATCGAACGAATATCTGACCAATTTGATTGCACTTCGGCGATACTTGCGTAAGTTCTCCAACCAAGTTACGACCGTGTACCGATGTTTTTAATATGTATCGCATCCCGAGCAAGCGGAGGTCGTTTCGTTCCCGGTCGAGCCTGTCATAATTTCCGTTCGCCAGGTTGAAGAAAACGGAGACGGTTGCGACGCCACTGTAAGCGCATCCGAGCAACAAGAGCACGCATAACGTAGATGCAACGCTCCGCAACATCGGATTGCCGAGGGCGCGCTCCTTCTCCGCAAGAACCGGAGGTGAAGGGGGCACATCGGAGACCACGAAGAGAGGCACCGGGGGGATGGGGGGCACGAGGGAAGAGAGGTCGACCGGGATAAACATCTGAGCCCCGCCCGGCACCCGAGGCTGCATCTCTTGTTGCTTTTCTCTACCTTGCTTCTTCTCTCTCGCTTCTTCTTCTTCTTCTTCTTCTTCTTCTTCTTTCTCTTCGTCGTCATCTTCCTCCTCGCTTCTTCTTCTTCGTCTCCCCTCTCCGTCTTTTTCTGCACTTCTCTTTCTCTCTCCCCCGTTCCGACGACCGGCACGCCGACATTATTAATCCTGGGTGCAGTTCGTGAGTGTCGATATGTAACATTTCGCACGTCTCGCATTTTACGGCGTTACGCCTCTTTCTGGTTTCCTTAATTGTATTTCATTTCTAGAACTTACTCGACTCGAACCGTACGAAATTTAATGTACCTTCCTCGTGACGATAGTTTGTCTTATGACACTTGAAAGTACACGCAACAAATATTTATCGTTTTACCGATTTGACCTAGAGTTGTGGAGTTTTCAAATAGCATCTTGTGCGATGTAATCTTTTTCGTTTGTACCTCGTCGAAGTATCAAAATCATATTATGTCCATTCACGATTTAGAATTACCTCAGTGTAGTAAAAACAAATTGTATACCACAGTGAGAAATATTTCAATATGACCTACCGTGGTATTTTCATCTAGAAGGCGAAATGTTTAAGTTTTCGTTTAAGAATCGCTTACCGTTACGTACGCTGTTGTTGGCTTCTACGTCATTCGGAGTGTCGGCAAGAGATAAAAATCTGTACACCACTTGGCGGTCTTGCGCGCTCTTTTTATCGAATTCCCCCTCTTTTCGCACGCGATACTTCACTTATCTATCTGACCTCGCTTCCGTTCGTTTTCATCTTCGAGCCTCGATTCAATGAGCATACTTCACCGAAGATCGCGAGAGAGGCGAGTCTATTCGACGTAAACTCCGATCTGGTCTGTTCCGTTAATGCTGCAGTAGTAAGACGCACTTGACCAACGTTTTCAAGCGTAAAATGTGCATGTCCATTTCGAAAATACTACTTTGGACAGAGAGAGATTAGATGTTCGTTCATCGACATCCTGAAGCCCGAGAGGGGTTCCAGAGTTGAACTGTTTCCGCAGGAGCATCCATACGAGTGTTGAATCTTTTATGAGCATGTTCGTTGCACACTCGTTTTTTATATATATATATATATTTGTCACAGCAATGTTCCGTGGTATTATAAGTTTGTTTTTCTGTTCCTGCACTGGGCTGCATTAAAACTTTCTATCTCGCTCTTGTTAAATTTCAAATATTTATCTATTTCATTTTAAGTGTATACAAAAGTTCAGCTACAAAAAATAGATATATCATATATCTTTTTTTCTTAAGCGGCAGAAAATTCATTTGCGGCTCTGAAAATTCATTTGTCGATTATTCTTGGGATTCATCTCACTGCGAGTGAAATTACACGCGACGCACATACGCATTCTCACACTTTCGCCACTTCGAGGATTTCAGTTCGTCCGCGTATTGAATAGTTTACGGCTTTTAAATAAGCGGCCCTCACTCGTTCCCAAACAATTTGCTCATACCGCAGATTGCTCGTAAATAAAGATAATCTATTCTACCCGGAAGATAAAAATCGTTTGGTCTTTGCCAGTGGGGGCCGCGGAACAGGGCAACCACCACCGATGGCTCGGCCACCTCCCGGTGCGAGCGAGAGGGACGCGGCGATCGAGGGAGCCAAAGACGGGGAGAGGGGGGGAGGGGGAGGACGACAGAGCGAGAGGTGTTCCACCGACTTGTTCGTTCCGCGGGTGAATGCTCCTCCAGTTATTCATTTTTACGTCGCTCATTGCTCGGATTTTACGGCACAAAAATTATGAAATTGCACTTTGTGCACCGTGCGTGCCCCCTTCCTCTCGCCCTCTCGCTTGTTCACCACCCTCTGTGCGCCGCACTCTTTCCTCGGCGATTATGCGTGCCGCCGTTCCGTCACGGCGATAAGCACTACCAATTTTCTCAAGGATTTTCGGTACGTTCAATGTTGGATTCTCGTGATGTATGTTTGAGTTTGTCTTGCAGGAAAAATCAAATCGATAAATTTTTATTTATCATTGTCAAGTGCTTGTAACAATAGTTTTTTTTCATAAATATAATTTAATCGTAAATATATGAGTACATTTAACAATAAGTAACATTGTAAATTCACAACTCCCATTCTCTCTCTCTCTCTCTCTCTCTCTCTCTCTCTCTCTCTCTCTCTCTCTCAAGTCGTGTTTGAATTTCTGCTCTCTGTTTACGTAAATTCTCGGAAATTAATTCCTAATTTCTTAACGTCGAGGTATCGCGAGTAGATGTATGCACATTTCGGGAAATAAATTTACTCATTAGATACGCTTTTAAATTACTGCCATTCAGCGTCAAGCGCATATATAAATTATTGACTTAGTATCGCGAGAGAAGAGAATTCGATACTTCTACTGAAATGCGCGCCGCACGTTCTCGAGGCATTGCCATATAAATTACTTGTCTAAATTGGTGGGTTTTATACATTTCTACCTACGCTTTCTCCGTGCGTGTTTTCTGGCTTCGTTGCGGGATAAATTATTGGATTACATTAGCCTCCAAATTTTCGTGTGCGTTGGCGATAAATGAAAATGAAGAGCGTGCTGCGTCGCACGCGGGCCCACGGAATGTCCCGTGGAATATTAATGCCAAATTGCGCCATAAATCGCCCGAATTTCGCGCTCCGAGAAAGGTCGAGAACCGATGATATTTTGTCATACATCTTGTCTTTTCGTGACATTCGTTCCAAAAAACACACAGTTAAATAACATTGACGTGTTGTAAAAATATAAAGTGTCATAACATTCCTCAATTCTCTTTAATTAAACACCATTTATATATTACCCGAATCAGGT